AGCAAATGGGGAGAGGGTTTGGCAGGATCTTGTGTCTTAGAAAGCATCCAAGGAATTAAGACACAAAGGCATGCCCATGAAATTAGGCAGTTCCTAGTGTAAATGTAACCAGATATGTAATTTCATAATGACACGCACCGGGTTGTGTAGTTAGACTTGTGCTGTTTACATAGATTAATCCTCTCCTTTAGAGCGCTTAAAAAAAGGGAACCAACAAGGCTGCTTGTTTGATGGCAGATTGTTATAATTTAGTGTAATAACACTTAACAAAGCCTGAGATGCACAGCAGCAATTTATGTGGGATGAAAAATAAAAACCGTTAGAAAACCCCCCCCATGTTTTAATCTTTTCAATTAACCTTCTCGAGACAAGCTTGCTGAAATTCAGGGATTTCGTGGGCTTATTGTATATAAACATTTTAGCCTCTCTTTTTCACTTTTTCAAGCAGAGTCATTCAAATGAAACCTGTCTCTGAGGCTTAAGCCAATAGGGCATCCAATTTCCATAGGAGTTCAATGGCGGGAGGCTTTCTTCATTTGGGCTGTACAGAAAACATCTATAAGCTGCATTCCTGACTGTGATTTTTAGCTGATTGCAGTTAGTAATGAGGGTGTGTTAGGGAAGCTGTGCAGAAGAGTTGAGCTCTATATTTCACCATGAAGGCACCCCAAGTTTATAGGATTGAACATGCTTTGTTTTCTACTTGCTATTTTTGACAAGCACCTGAAAGGTATAGTTTGGAGTCAGCGCTTCTTATTCCAAACGTATTGTTTCCATTTTCAGCTTGACATGATGTAAGTGGCTGGCGATATGTGGGAACCATGGAAGACCAGGCTTGGTATTAAAAAGAAGGCGGATCATCCATTCCCCTATAGCCCTTTGTTTCTTGAGAGAGAGCATTCAAAGGATGTATCCCGTTGGTGTAAATCCCAGAGCTGACTCTATAACACCGAACCAAAGATTGAAATAATCTGCAGAAATTTCTGCATGAGACTCTTAAAAAACAATGACAACAAAGAAACCAGCTGACACCCACGACCTCCTTCAGTGTGTTGGTCTATTTTATACCTAGTGTTGTACTGTTTCTTTGTCGTCTCAACTTCCACTAAACCTTCTTCAATCTTAGTGAAGGCGCTTGTTGTTGGATATCACTGATGACTGGCCAGAAGGATGTTAGGGATGTCAGAGTGACATTGCAGGATCCTGTAGGTGAAGCTTGAGCGGAAGGAAACCAGTGTCTTCCTAGTTCAAAAGGACAAAATAGTTACTTTCCTGGCTTCCATCAAATCAGAAAAGGAAAAATAAATGGGTGTTTTGGACATAAAAAGCTGAAAAGAATCATTACAAAATATCCATGACAAGGATTTGTAATGCATTCTCCCCAAATGTACAGCAGAACCGGTAGTAAACAGTAGAGCGCAGCCAGCTTGCAAATCAGTGCTTATATGCTTGTGCTTCTCCTATAAACTCTCTTGCCCAACCAAAGCATGAACAGGGTCTTTCATCCTAATCTAGAGTCTCTCTGGCCATTTCCAGTTATTTTTGTGCCTTCTCTTGTCTTAATGTACTTGGAAGCTTCCTGCTCCATGTGCCGTACCTTCCCTTTCTTCTCAAACTTTTAATTGATTGCAGTTACTTTAGTTACCTTCATGCTAAAACAACGACTGACTCAAGTGTTAGAGACTGCAGCTAACTTGCTAACACAGTGCCCAGGAGCCCTTCAGAGCCAGACCATTAAAATGCTCTGTACGCTGATGATTTGGGTTTTCAAAAAGACAGATCATTACACAAAGGGCCCAAAAGAGAATGAAGTAACTAGTTGTGCATGCTTGGACAGGACACTTGAATGCTGTGATTATGTGGTCATGATGCCGTTACCGGGATGATGTCTTAGGCGCATGTCATTTTGTTCTTGTTAACATATACACGTGTATGACATACGTAACGTACACACGTAGGACAGACAGGCTGCAGAATGACATCTCCTCTCTGAATCCTGGGCTTACCTGATATTTTGGTATAAAATGTCTGCACATCGTATAGCATGACTCCTGGGTCAGGAAGTCGAAGCGTCCTTTCTCCTTCCTACCTTCCTCCACTCACCAAAAGGGCTCTTGAATCACGTGCTTTCCCCTGGTTCAAGAGATTTCCAGCGACAGGCAGACTGACAGCAAACAAATCACTGACCGCACCCTCCGAGCCATAGTGTCAAAGTGGTTTCTCATAATTGTAAATAAGAAATAACTGGCCACATTCATGATCATTATGTAACCAGCTGGTTTTTAGTTTTCTCTTAAAACAATGGTTAATAAAATATTTTCATGGCTTTTTTGTTCCCCACATCTTTTTACATTCTTTGAAGGCATATCTGCAAAACTTGGATTGTAGTAGACTGCTTCCTACCTTGTTGGTACAGCTACACAGTGATTCAGAGGAGAAGTGGCCTCTTGCATATTCTGTATGGTAAATGAAGGTAGCACTAACCATGAAAATGCCAGGTATATTTGAATTCTCTGTGCTGTACAAGTATCAGTCTTCATCCACCTCTTCTGATGTAGCTATATCGGTTGGTAGACGTGCTTCAGGACCTTAGTTAGGACTACACTGGGATTCAGAAGCCATTGTCTGCGCTAGGATTAGATTTGAGATTTCAGAATATTTAGTACTGGTCTTAAACCATTTGACCACAAGTTTATGACACACGAGTCTCATTTGTCAAGCGGCGCATCTCTATGATTTAGTATGGTATTATCCCACAGGACATTGTGTTCTTTGCATTGCACATTTATACTCAGTCTTGGGAAATGCATTGCTAGAACTGAAGAGGGTGAGCAAGGATTTATGACTGATATTTAAATGAAATGAAAGCAGATAACTAGGAGGAACCTGAGGCTCTTTCATTCCAATCTAGCCCCCCTCCCTTCATTGCAATTATAGCCATCTTTCAAGGTCATGTGATATGCCTTTCTACAGAGGGACTGTTAAAAAGTGAATTGCTTTAACACTCAATTTTAGCCAAAAAGCCACATGCCAGGATTCTTATTAAATTACCAGGGGCTCTTTCATTTTGTCTAACTTTCCATCATGAGAGATGCCAGACCTCCTCAAACCCTTGGGTGTCAAGTCGTGACCTAATTCAACACTAGTCGTAATGCTGCAGACTGAGTCACTACTTTAACTAGCTTCAAGAAGGAATTGAGCTGCTAGCCTCCCACTTACGTGTCCTTGTTGGAAGCACCATCCCAGCTCCATATTCTGCACTTGCTGAACCATCCCCCTGCTCTTCATGGCCTGTAACGTTTCTTTTTCTTTACTGCTTTGGTAACTTGAATGTGTGCATTTATATTGTTATGAGCCACTGGACGTTCTGCTGGAGAGAGATCTGCTCTGCAAAGCTCCTCTTATGTTAAAAGTATAGGCACTGCTGTTGTTTTTCTTCTGTCTTCTTCTTCTGTCTTTAATGCTGGAGTCTCTTGCTCCTGGTCCACAGCACCAAAAATTACAGCTTTTTTCTATTTAGAAGACTGTTGCTAAAAATACTTTGTTCATCAGAGCATTGGGAGGCAATGAACAGCTTTGGTTGACACAAAGTCCAGTGTTGTGGGAATTAGGAATCTTCCCCCACATAATGTCTTGGGACCAGCAGTACTGTGCCTGGCAGCGTTCACGGCTCTGGGAGCAGGGCTCCAGCTCTCCTTCCCACTTCCCATAACATCGATGCAGTCATCGTGGAGGAGATTCATGGTAATGTATTCTGCAGCACTGACAGATCTTACTGGCCATGCTAGGGTTTGGGGGTTTTTTAGCTCAGCTACCATCCTGGGTCCTTAGTATGAATCAGTAATAGAGAGTCTGTCATGAAGAAATTCTGGTTGCAAAGCGTGTTCATTGATTTTGGGGTAGGAACATGCATGCTCCTAGGAGGAGACAATAGGGCATAAAACAATTAATCCTAGAAAACAAGGGTTGAAGGGACCTTGTGAGGTCACATCTAGTCCAACCCCCTGCTCCAAGCAGGACCAGCCCCAACTACATCATCCCAGCCAAGGCTTTGTCTGCTTAGGTCTTAAACACCTCCGAGGATGGAGAGTCCACCACCCCTCTGGGTAGCCTGTTCCAGTGCTTCACCACCTTCCTTGTGTGAGTTTTTCTTAATACCCAACCTCAACTTCCCTTGCTGCAGCTTGAGATGATGCTCCTTGTTCTGTCAATTAGTACAGTTGTACAATTACAACTGGTCCTTGTCCTGTCATTAGTACAGTATTGCAGTTGCCAGACGTTACTACCCAAAGCAAAAAGATGGCCTTTGCCCTGGAGAGTTCCCCATCTGTTTGCACAGTGCCTAACCCTTGGCTGGGATTCCTAGCTATGGCCAGAGTGCAAATAGTAATATTACACGGTAGGAGAGATGTTTCTTTTTTACCTTGATTGCTGATATCAACACAAGCATGAAGAACGCTGGCCTTCATTTTATTAGTCTAGCAAAAAGAGCAACTTTTTTAGCTGCTTTAAGTTACTGCTAAGAAGACCTCTCATTTCATTCAGTTCTTGACCCATAGATGCTGCCTTCCCACCTTCACTCTGCTCCATTTTCTCTCATTTGAGCTGCGGATAGTGCGGAGAGATAGTGGAACCAACCGTTTGCGGGGGAGCCTGCTCCGACTGCTATCAAAATGCTCTTCAGAAAATTTGGGACAGGAAGATAGGCCTGGACAGGACCCCCTGGGTCATCAGTTGCCTGCAACTGCAGGAAACCAAGCTAGATAATCCCTTTCATTAATTGAACATACTGCTAAGAAAAGGGCAGTCCTTATCCTTAACAGTCTACCATCAGAAGTGCAACAGCAAACAGCGCATGTTGGCATCTGTTGAAAAAACTGCTTGGGTTTTTCATGAGGGCGGTAGGATTTGTGTATAGGATTTTAGTGCACGGTTTAGAAGTCATAGTGGTTTCTGTGGATGAACTTAAGTCTTCCAGCTTTGGGAGAGCTCGGTAAGGTTGCAGACGTCTCGAGCAAAACTGTCTCATAATAGAGCCTGGAGGCAGAGCTCTTGCAACCCAAGTACGGGAAGGTACTTCAAAGCCTTTTGAGCACAGTCTGGTTTGCATGTTTGACTATATTTTTCTGTAGGGTTGGAGCAGTGTCACGGCCCTGATGGTCCAAAATGGTACTCTCTCCTACCTTGGGGGTCTTCAAGAAGAGGCTAGACAGATATTTGGCTGGAATGAGATGATCCCAGCACCCGTTCTCGCCCGAGGCAGGGGATTGGACCTGATAATCTATTTAGGTCCCTTCCGATCCTAAGGTTTGAGAGGCAAAGTTTTGAGAGATCTTTTATTGGACTAATTAAACATGGGAGAGATGTAGGACAAATTCCAACACGTGGTGACCTGAAGACCCTGTATTTTTCTGTGCAGCAAATACCGATGGGTTGTAAATAATAGATTATTCCTCCCCGCCCCACCATTTCTTTTTATTGGTTTGGAAGGACGTTCACATTGACAAACATAGGACGCTTGGTAAGGACTAGACATTTTTTTATGGACCATGTGAAATCTTACAGTGAAAGCGACTGCAAATGTCGTCTCCTCCAGCCCTCGGACCTGCTCCCTGGTGCATATTCACTGTCTTATCCATTCACTTTAGTCACTACAGTAAGCTGAAGTTCCTGCTTTTTTATTTCTGGCAGCCGTAGCAGGCAACCCAGCTGAGACCGAGCTGAATTTCTGCTCCATCTTGCACATCGCTGGTAGGGCTCTGCGCTATGCTCCAATTACAAACCCCCCGTGCGCTGCGAGAGCAAGTCGTTTGTCCCACTACCACCGAGTGCCTCATTTGACCTGCTACACTTTTATGATGGTGATGACGTGCAGGAACGAAAGGTAGCCTGAAGGGCTGGCAGTTTGAGAGAGAGCTTTCCTTATAACACAAGCATATGTGTGCTAATCGCTAACAGGGACTTATTTTTATTATTGTAATAACATCGGTGGCTCCCAGTCAAGGTGCAGAGCCACATCGTGTGCTAATTACTATCCAGAGAAGTGACAAAGACCATGTCTGCCCCAGCGGTCAGAGAAGGAGGCAGATAAGCAGGTGAGGAAGAGCAGGATGAGCCCTGGGCTGTACAGTCAACTTATAGCCGCACTTCACAACCTCTATCCTAGTTTGCAACTGGGAGGATGCCTTTCCTAAACAGTTACCTTTGCTATCCTGCCCCTAGGTCATCCCCGTTTCTAAGGAGGCTCAGTGGAGTTACTCAAGGGGTAAATTGGGCCTCTATCTTTACCTAAAAACAGACGTCAAGCAGAGGCAGCTGAAGAATTCGTCTGCTTCCATAGTGGTAATGTGAGGGTGCAATTTAAATCACAGGGAAATGCTGTGAGCCAGGAGCAAGATCTAAGAAGTATTTATCTACATTTTTGGAAATGCACACAAGCCATTTCTTCCCAGTCTGAGCCCTGGGCATAGAATATTTTGAGACCTAGATAGAGATCCACCCTGCTACCTTTTGTGCTCTTCACTTATGGATACTGCGTGATCTTGTTACAGCAGCATTGGACTAGGAACCAGGAGCTGGGTAAGTCGCCGTGCTCTCCATATATCCGTTTTTCCATCCATCAAAGGGGCATCTGAGATCTAAGAATGAAAACCTACGCGATAGTGGCTCAGATGAATTTTTCAAGGCAAAACCCTTTAATGGCAACCAGGACACTCTGTTGTGTGCTTCTACCATGCTTAGCAAAATGGGAGTGAGAGCTGCAAGACACAACTGCAACTTACTTTTAACATTAATGAAAGTATGAAAATTAAATGATATAATAATAGTTTGGAGTGCTTCCATTTCTGGGTGCCTCCTTAAAGCCTCGTTGAACCTGATTTTCAGGGATGGATGCCCGCCAGCTAACAAAGGCAGAACCTCCATGGCTCAGCTGATAATTTCCAAACTCTATTAAACTCTGATCACAAGAGACCTCTGAAATGCAAAAGGTTTACTAGCTTTAATTAGTTTTACCTTTTGGCCTGGGGAATTTTTTTCTTTTTCTTTCCTGGGAATTGTACAAAATATGTATTTCCCAGCACAAAAAAGTATGAGTTTGTTTTTCCGTAGTCGTCGTCATTATTATTGTTATTTTTGACACATACCGTAATTATTAAGTTCACACTTTGCATCGGTGCAATCACCTCTCCGTGTTTTCTTACTAGTGTGTTTTGGAAAACTGCAGTGAAATCAGTAGGTGAAGAAGGGAAATGCATCTAAAATTGCTTTTAGTATGTTGAGCCAAGATGTTTCTTGCTCGCCCTCCTCCCCAGCTCCCAGCCCCTGCCTCAGACTTGTTC